CTAAATTTTTCTGACTAGGTGGGCGAGGAAGACAGTTACGGGTGTTAACTTCTCATTTTATTTTCATTTGGAAATCCTGCCTCCCTTTTTTTTTCTTTTATATTAGGTCATGGGAATTTTGCTATTGGAGTTGCTAAAAGAAAATGAAAAGGTTATGACAGGTGGGGTTAAAGAAAAGAAGAATTAAGAGAGAAAAGGGGCTAGAATTAACTTCAGAGTAGCAATACTTAAACTTAAAATATTCAAGGGAATGAACAGGACTCATTATTTCAGTAAAAGGAAATTATGTGCCAGCTCATAGTGAAGCCTGTCTAGATGCTTGTAAATAATGTGTTATGAAGTCCTGGGAGGGTGTTGGCTCATGAGCAGGTTTTACTCTATACATTGAGCCTTGTGAGACCTAAAATTTGAAATAAGACTTTTATTTATTTGTTTTAAATGAAACTGCCTTTTTAAAAAAGTGCTGGCATTTTTTTGTTTGCTCTTGCAAAATGTATTCTCATATTTTTCACCACACTTATACAAGTTTACCTCTATTTTGGGTAGCCATTTTTGTGGGTTGTGTTTTTAAGGAGTTCGGCCACCACTTAAAATACTGTCTTTATGGGGAAAAACAAAAGCACAATTTGCCTTTAGGGTACAACATGTTTAAAAATCAACTTTCCTTCCATCTTTATTTATTTAGTATGTTTTTCAGGGGATTCAGAATTCTATTTCTTATGAAGAGAAATTAGGTATTTGTGTATGCCGAATTTTTTTCAAGTGAATTTATTTGAAATTTTCCATTCAGTGTTTGATTAAGCAAGAGCGGAAAATTAATCTGGTTTAGGACAGTTGGGCACATATCTTCAGTACTTTATTAAAATAATGTGATTAATTTTATTCTGTAGATATAATATTGAATTTTCTAAGTGTTCTTATTACAGGGAAGGTCAAGCATTTTGGGGTATAGGATCTAGATGGTTAATGTACATTTTGCTTTATCTCGCCTCTGAATTATATACATAAATATAAGTACTGTGGCTGAATAAACCAGTCTTTCTGAAATGTGAAGCCATTCGTATAAAATATGTGCCAAGCTTACCCCAGTCTTTACCAAAAGAACAGCACTGTCATTGCAAATGGTTTTTTCCTGGAGGTAATCCTAAACCTCTTTTCTAGCTTAATGACTTGAAAAGAGTAGCAGGGCTGGACGTACTGAAATACTTGTAAGGTAAAGTAGCCATCCTGGAAAGCACATAGTTGGAAAGAAATAGTTGGTAGATGGAGGGTTGTAACACATTACTGTTGTGCCACAGGTCATAGTTTTTGGAGTTGTTATAAACTGTTGATTTTTATTCATTTCCTATGTAATACATGGATAGGTTGTTTTTAAAACTGGTGTTTAATTCTGTATATGTTTCTCTGTGTGTCCCTGGTGTCTTTTTTTTTTTTTCTGGCATCTTAAGATATTAAGTTGTGTACTCTCTTTCTGCCCTGTAGTCATCTTTCATCCCAAAGCTCTAGTCCTGCATTTCCAGCTTTCCTTTGCACCTGGATATCCTGATGTTCTCCTGTTCATTTCATTTATCCAGAAGTACATCCTCCACCTGCCATCCCTGACTTGGTCTGTGGCTCTGTCTTGTGCAGCCACTTTTAATCTGAGTTTTTGCCATTTCCCTGGAAATGCTTCACTCCCATCAATTCTCAAAACTATTTGATTCTTCCAAATCTGGTGTTTGCTGTTTCTGATTGATTATGTCATCTGATAAGTTTTACAACAGTTTTTCAGTGTGGGCAACACTTTTTATGTATACTTTGATTTGTAAATGCATACCGATTCAGAAACATTAAATACAAATTTCAGAACTGAAGAACTGTGGAATCACACATATTAGTGAACTGCTTCCCCATGTTGCTCCTGCAGCCATGTTAGCTTAATCTCTTACTCTCTTATCCCTAGACTCATTTTAGCTTTCTTCTAGTGTCTTTGCAATGTAGACTTTCTACATTGTATATTTTCTACAATGTATATTTTGCTCCCAAACACACACATGCACACCCAGTGAACTCTTCCATTCCTGTAGACAGAGTCCAAATTCCTAGCATTCAGGGTCATTTTGGTTAGCTAGCCAGCCTTATCTCTTCTCCATGTGAACCTTTCATTATCTTAGCGAAGCTTAAGCTTTTTTAACTGTTGTTCACTGAACTCATCTTATGCCATGCTCTATTACAGGACCCTCCCCCTCCCCCCATGTCTTGAATTTTTGATTGTCTAAGTTCCACCTATATTTCCAAGCTAGATCAGATGCATCTCCTGTAGAAACTCATTTCTGACCACTGTCAGAAATTCAGAAATCAGAGAGGCCTTATGTTGCATATGGCTAATACCATCTATGACTGCTGCCCTGTGGTTTTCTCTTTATGGACGCTTCCTGCCATTTAAAATAGCATCGTAAGTCCCTAAGAGACAAAGATGGGTTTTGTTGTCGGTTTCTAATGCCTCGAGTTCTCAGTGCTTCTTTAAACGGCAGATGCTCAGAATATATTCTTTGGTATATTTTAAAGTTGGTTTCTGTACATGACATGTTTGCATGTAGTTAACATTTTAACTAAAGCATGTATTTCCCTGGGATTAAAATGAAGTCAAATTCACCACTTACCTTTGAAGTAAAGAATCTGAAAATAAATGTTTAAAATATCAGGATGAACCATTACTGTCAGTGGCCCTTACACTATGTAAAATTAGATTTTAGCATTAGTAGTTTTTAACAAATAATGATTAACATAGAAATAACATAAAATGATTTTTTAACATATCCTCAAACTTTTATTGTCACATAATAAAACAAAATATGAAGCTTAGTATTGGCTCACTTGGCCCTTTCTCTTCTTCTCCCAGTTCAAAATGCTGGCATTGCTTAGTAACCAGTATTCTCTTAGATATGAGTTGGGTGCAGTGCATTTAAGCCGTAGCATGATCTTTGTAGTTTTAGTCTTTTTGTGGAAAATTGGCTTAGTCTGTTCACCATAGCCACTCTGCTTCCTGTCATAATGCCACTCTCCCTGTGCATACAGAGAATCCTTGCCCCTGTGCATACAGAGAATCCTTGCCTGTTTTCTACTGTTACTTTGTAGAGTTGATGCTTGCCATACTATTTACAGAAAGTCAGGGGGTGTTAGGAACGTTTACCATGTTCGTGTGAAAAAGTTCTTGGCACGAAAAGCTGATTTAACACCTTTACAAAACAATAACAGAATTGAGCAGTGTGCTTTGTGAATGGAAAATTTGTGCGACATTCATTGGTCCTTACTAGCCAGTTAAGGAAACAGGTAGATCACTACCTGTTTCTGGCAGATCTAAGGGATGGGGAGTTCCCAGGACCACAGATCCAACTTCACTGCTAGGATAGACCTATTCCTTTGGAGCTACCCCAGTGCTGGTCCTGAATCACCTCTTTTCATAATTATTTGGATGTCTTAATAATAATGTAATGGTGAAGATATTATTTGTGGAATATGTTGCTTCCTAAATACGGAGATGTTCAGTTTTGGGTTTGACACATTACAGATGGGAAGAAATTTATGAAGCTATTCACAAAAGTGTCTAGCTTCTAAATTTTATATCTAGGACTTCGAAAATTATTCCAAGATCTTCAAGGATAGTAGCAGTTCTATAATCCTGAAGTCAGAGAGATGATCCTCGAAGTATGATGGGCAAGGTACAGGATGGGGACTCCTGAATTTAAGCACAGTAGGAGATTTCCTCTCCTATATTTGTAATGGGTTACTGGGTTAAAAACCAAGTTGACTAGCCCTAGGAGAGGAGTAGGTGGCACAGGGTGGTTTTGCAGTTTTCTCTGTTGTAGTGATTATCATAGGGTCATGAAAAAATGTTTTTAACTGTTATCAGTGACTCCTTTAAAGAACTTGATAAAAGATGGGGGTTCTTGCCCTAGAGAAGTTTTGCAATAAGCAGAGCTTTGTTTTAAGAATCAGTAATTGAGACCTCCTAGGTTAAGAGCCCCCCCCCAAAAAAAAAGGTATCCAGAGAACAAAATAACTTCCTGAAATTGTATGAGAGATGTGTCAGTTTTTGAAGCAGGAACTGTCTAGGCCCCTGTCCTCAGCCTGCCCCTTCTTCTGCATCTCTGTATTGTGCATCTTTTGTTTGTTTGTTTGTTTGAGTTGTGTTTTCTTTATTCTTTGTGTGTCCTTTTGCAGGTTTTTGGTTTGTAGTTACCATAAGGTGTTTGTATATCAGTCTATATAGCAGTTTATTTTAAGCTGGTAGGTATTTAAATTTGAATATACTCTAAAAGTACTATATTTGTACACTCCTTTCCACGCATTAAGTTTTTGATGTTGTATTTGAAATGTTTTTGTGTTGTGTATCTTTTAACTGTACTATAGTTTGAGTTGAGTTTGGTACCTTTTTTTTTTTTTTTTTACCAAAATGCAGTAGCTTTTTAAATGTCTGATTTGCTGTATTTATTAACTGTTTGGCTTTATCGGTGATATTTTTATTTTCTCATATTTTCTTATTTCTGGTTAGTGTATTGTGCTTCTTGATATTGTGCTGGTTGAACTTGAGCCCTCATGAAGTCATCCTTTGAAGGCATGTTATGTTCTCATTCACATCCACCTACATTCTGACTCGGTTTGTGTCCATCAGTGGGTTTTCTCAAATTGAGCAAACCTGCATTTTCCACATTTTAAATTCAGGCTTTCCCTAACACCCCAAATATCCTTAATCCTAAATAATCCAACTCTCTCCATTTTTTTCTATTCTTTGTGTGCGCTATGCACACACATTTTGCAGTTTATATGACCTATAGATGCAGTAGCTTAAGTTTATTTCCTGGATTTTGTCAGTTTGGACAAAATAGAAAAGCAAATTTTATTATAACAGGTTAGTGGTTAGGTTCTTTTACCAGTTGAATTCTCTCATCATGGGTTATAGGAAATGGTTTAGACTAAAAAGTTTTAATCTTAGTACTGCTTTTTTTTTTTTTTTAAACTTGTGTCCTGGTGCATGAGGATAGAACCTGCAGACTGGAAACCGTCAGCACCAACGACATGACACTGAGGGCGCTGGAGCCCTTTTCCTCTCCCTCCCTGCATTACAGGGATCGGGACCGCACGCCTTACCCCTGCCAAAAAGAGGAGGGTTAAACTGCATCTTTTAAAGTTTTAAAATGCATTTCCTTGACTTTAAGATTATTTGCAGGTATTTAGATTAAAATAGATTCCCAGTGGAAGCTATAATTGGTTTTAAGGTAATCTAATGTTGGAAAAACATGAAACTTTATAGCAAAGAAGACAAATTAATAAATTAGCAGTGTTAGTTGAGATGCCTTGGGCTTCTCTGCAAGAGTATTAGGTTTAGTTGCTGCATAATAGCATTGTAAAGTACTATTCTGTTTGAGGATAAATGGCATGTGGGAAATAATATATAAATGTGTTTAGAATAACTGATTTTCTTATTGAATGCACATAGTTTTACAGAGTGAAATTGTGACTTAAACATATAGTGACTTGATGTTTTTGTTGGCAGAAAATTGTATCTGAACTGTTTGGAGAGTTAACATTTACTTCATTTTCTAAGAAGAGCTCAAAGAAACCTAGTGTCTTGAGGATTATCTTACTTTTGAATCATGGCATTTAATCACTTATAAATGACTAAGGGGAACTTTATTATTGACGTTGCTGCTGTTTGGGTTTTTCCTCATTTTTTTTTAACAGTAGTGGTATTCCTAAAACTGTTGAAAATCATTTCAAAGAAAGTGTTCCATTTTCTTTTTTTCCCCCCAAGATTTCATTTTATTTCTTTTTAGAGAGAGGGCAAGGGAAGGAGAAAGAGAGAGAAGCATCAGTGTGGTTGCCTCTCACATGCCCCCAACTGGGGACCTGGCCTACAACCCAGGCATGTGCCCTGAGTGAGAATCAAACTGGTGACCCTTGGGTTTGCAGGCCTGCACTGAATCCACTGAGTCACACCTGCCAGGGCTGAAATTGCTCCCTTTTCATTCAAGTGGAATAAAAGCTAAAGAGCTTCTGTGAATGTACATTTTCTTGTAAGGAGAGAATGAATTATTGTCTTTAAAGAATAAAAGAATAGTTTGTAATTTATTTTAATGACTGTCATTGTAGCTCTTTTTTTTTTAAAGTTTTCTTGTTCTATCCTTCTTTAATTTAGCTATGATGTTTCTGATAATGGTGCAGTCTTAAGGTGGTAAAGCTGTGGTGGAAGTGAGTACCTTTACCACCAGTTAGAATTAATTTCTGGAACTTGAGAATAGTGTTGTCATTGTAAATTTAGCATTCACACAGGTGCTATTCCTTTCATAATCCTATTTTTCAGTTGTAGCTTAGCTGATTCAACACAAGATTTATTTATTTGTGAATAATAGGCAGGTGGGCACAAAAAGAGAAGCATGTATTTTCCTATTTCTTATACCTTATCTTTTGGAAAAGTTGTGTAGTTTTGGATATTATGGCAAAGGGGATAACTTAAATTTTCCTTTCTTTGAAATTGTTCAATTACGGTTGTCCCAATCCCTCCCCTGCCCCATGTACCACCACCCCTCAGTCAGTCCCCCTTAATACATGTTCCTTGTTAAATTTCCTTTTTTTTTTTCTTTTTAATTTATAAGCCAGAAAAACCTTTCATTCAGCGAAGTAGAGACAGAATAGATGCAGGGGTGTCCAACATTTTGGCATGTCTGTGCCACACTGGAAGAAGAAGAGTTGTCTTAGGCCACACATTAAGTACATTGCAACATGTAATCACAAAAAATCTCATAGTGTTTTAAGTAAGTTTATGATTTTGTGTTGGGCCACATTCATAGCCATCCTGAGCCGCATGTGGCTTGTAGGCCACAGGTTTGATTATAAGACCTTCCTTAAGACGTGCAGATGGCCAACAAACATACAAAAAGATGTTCAACATCACTAATTATTAGGGAAATGCAAATCAAAATCACAGTGAGGTATCACTTCATACCTGATAGAATGGCTATTATCAAAAAGATAAATAACATGTGTTGGAGAGGAGGTGGGAGAAAAGGGAACCCCAGTACTTTGTTGGTGGGATTGTAAATTGCTACAGCCACTGTGGAAAGCAGTATGGAGGTTCCTCAAAGTATTAAGAATGGAACTGCCATATTATACAGCAATTCCTCTTCTGGGTACATATCTTAAAAACATGAAAACACTAATTTGAAAAGATATATGTACCCCTTTGTTCACTGCAGCATTATTTATAATAGCTAAGATACGGAAACAATCAGTGGTGTCCATGAAAGACAAAATGGTTCAAGTTAAGGATGTGGCATATACAGTTAACCCTTGAACAACTCAGGTTTGAGCTGCTCAGGAGGACTTTTCTCACCAAGGGTATATTCATTGATTTTAGAGAGAGATGATGGGGTTTGGGGTGGGGGAGAGTGAGTGAGCGAGCGCAAAACATCAATGTGAGAGAGGAGCATTCATTGTTCAGCTGCCTCCCCTATGTGCCCCAGCTGGGTTTGAACCGGCAGCCTAGGTTTGTGCCCTGACTAGGGAATCAAAACTGCAACCTTTTGGTGTATGGGAGGCACTCCAACCAACTTAGCCATCTGGCCAAGGCATAAACTTCTTTGTTATACTTAAAAAATTAAGCACACACAGTGAAATATAAAATTATGTCTTTGTATAGGCTTATATTGTGGTTCAAAAATTGTTAGACTTTGATTTACATGAGCTTCAGGTTTACAGAAAGAAACTGATCCAGAAATACAGAGTTCCCATTTACTCCTTTGTCCCTATTACTAACATTTTGTATTGGTGTGGTACATTTGATACAGTTGATGAACCAATACTGATACATTATGACTAGTTCATGATTTACATTAGAGCTCATTCTTTGTGTTGTACAATTCTCTGGGTTTTAACAAATCAACAGTGTTGTGTATCTACCATTTTATTATCATACAGAGTAGTTTCACTGCTCTAAAAACCCTTGTTGCATCTATTCATTGGAATGTACCATCTCTTCCAATCCCTAGCACCCAGTAAATTTTTTTACTGTGTCCATATTTTGCTTTTTCTAAAATGTCATATACTTAGAACCATACAGCATGTAGCCTTTTCGAATTGGCTTCTTTTCACTTAGCAATGTGCATCTAAATTTTCTCCTCTTTTTGTCCTGATAGCTTATTTCTTTTTATTGTTGGATATTCATTCCATTTTATGGGTGTACCACAGTATTATTTATTTATTTATTGAAGAACATTTTGGTTGCTTCCAAGTTCTCACAGTTATTAATATAATTCTGCAACGTTCATGGGTAGGTTTTTGTTTGGATATAGGTTTTCAACTCATTTGAGTAAATATGTGGAGCATGAATGCTGGATCATATGGGAAGACTGTTTAGTTTTATAAGAAAGATGATACCATGCCAATACTAATGAAAAGAAAGCAGGGAGTAGCTCTATTTTCAGTCTAAGCAGACTTTGGAACAAGGAAAATTGCTAAGGGATAGAGGGACATAAACAAGGGATAGAGGACGTTACATAAAAATAGAAGGCTTAATTCTCTAAGAAGAGCCAGTAATCCTTAATATGCCTGACAACAGACCATCAGAATATGTTCCCTCCCACCAGCAGTCATTGGGAGTTCCCTGCATCCTTGTTAGCATTGTGTGTTGTCAGGTGTGTAGTGCCACATCACTGTTTTAATTTGCAATTCCTAAATGACAGTATGATGAGCATCTTCGCATATGCTTACTTACCATCTGTATGTCTCCTTTGGTGATGTTTAGATCTTCTGCACACTTTAAAATTATGTTGTTTTCTTATTACTGAATTTTAGGAGTATTTTGTATATTTCGTATAACACTCCCTTATCAGAAATGTGTTTTGCAAGTGTTTTCTTCCTCTTTTCATTTCTCGATTGTGTCTTTAACAGAGATTATTAATTTTAATGAACTCCAGTTTACCAGTTTTTTCTTTCATGGATCAGGCATTTGCCATTGTGTGTTTAAAGTCATTTTCAAACCCGAGGTCATTTAGATTTTGTCATCTATTATTTTCTAGGAGTTTTGCATTTTACATTTAGATCTGTGACCCATTTTGAGTTAATTTTTGTGAAAGGTATAAGGTCTGTCTAGAGTAGATTTTTTTGCATGTAGATAGGTGTCCCCTTGTTTCAGCACCATTTCTTGAAAAGACTATCCTTTCTCCATTGAATTGTTTGTTCCTTTGACAAAGGTTACCTGACTAATCTTCTGTAGTGTGGGTTTATTTTTAGACATACTGTTTCTCTATTATATATATATATATATATATATATATATATATATATATATATTTTTTTTTTTTTACCAGTGCCACACTGTCTTGATTACTATAGCTTTATAGTAGCTAATAAAGTTGCATAGTGTCAGTCTTCTGATTGTGTTCTTCAATGTCCTGTTGGCTATTCTGGGTTTTTTGTCTTTCCATATAAACTTGAGCATTAGTTTGTTGATGTTCACAAAAGAACTTACCAAAATTTTGATTAACATTACATTGAGTCTGTAGATCAATTTAGGAAGAACTAAATCTTGATTATATTGACTCTTCCAATCCATATATATGGGATATTTGTCCATACAGTTATATCTTTGACTTCTTTTATTGAAGTTGTATAATTTTCTTCATCTAGACCTTGTACATATATTAGATTTATACCTAAGGGGTTTTTTTTTGGGGGGGGGAGAGGTTTTGCCTGCTAAAATATAAATGGCATTTGGAGCGTTTTTTTTTTGGTGCATAGAGACAACAATGTGAGCTGGGAACAAAGCAGTTGTATTTCTCCCTTCCCAGTCTGTTTTTCCTTCCTTCCTTCCTTTTCTTGTCTTATTGTATTAACTAGGACATCCAGTTTGCTGTTAAACAGAAGTGGTGAAAGAGGACCTTCTTGCCCTTGATCCTCATTTTAATAGGGGGAACATCTATTTTTTCACAGTTAAATGTGGTGTTGGCTCTAGGGTTTTTGTTGATATTTTTTATCAAGTTGAGGGAATTCCCCAGAATTCCTAGTTTGCTAAGTTTTTATCATGAATGACTATTTTCCTTGCATCTTTTCATATGATCATGTGATTTTTCTCCAGCTTGTTGGTACAGATTTCATTAATTGATTTTTGAA